TAGTTACGAAATTATAAAACTGTCATCACGAAAATACAAACAGTTTTATAAACGTTTGTTGTGTAATCAAACTTGTGTTCAGGTAATAATGTGCCTTATGCACATACAAAGTCTTTCAGCAGACAAGATAATCAGAAGACCAGACTTATTGACAAAGATGTGGTGTAAACATTTCTCATGATGACATTTTCCTCTACTCCTTTTAATATGAAATAAGCTTTCCTAGATAACATAATTACAATAAGCCTATATTTACACTAATGTTGATTTGTTCGGAAGTGCAATAAACAGTGTCATTTCTTTGAATACTTTTATAAGGCCTCCATCGTCCGTTCTATGCTTCGAAGCAGTCAACAATGGCTTCATAGTAAGTCTTTCACCGTTTGATAGCTTATATTGTTCCAGAATTATTTCCTGTTAGGGGGCAAAATATATTGAATAACTGAAGGAAGTTAATTAATACACATTTGAGTTTAGAGTGGGAAAATAGACAAGAGGTTATGAAAATAAATGTAACTATGTAATACCGGATAAATCTGTGACAGAGAAGTAAAATAAACAAGGGATTAGGGAAATATATGTATGGTTACCAAATACAAGAGGAATCTATGACAGTCAAAGCTTTACGATGGCCATGGCAAAGATGAAGGTTGGACGTACCTGTTTTGGAGGCTAAACGCTGGTTCAAATTCAAACCAGCGTTATTTTCCTACCTAGTCATAGATTTGACCTGTACCACGTAATTACAATCTTATTCACATAACCCTTCGTTCATTTACCTACTTTGCTATACATTCATTGTGTTACATAATTACATTTGATTTCCTAATGCCTTGTCTACTGTCCCGCTCTAAACCCAAATGTATATTAATTAACTTCCCTGGTCAGCAGTCGAACCTCATAGCTCAGTTGGTGGGGCATCGAACCGGAAAAATAGCGGTTGTTGGTTGGAATCTGGCTGCAGTCCAAATTTTCATTCCACCTTCAATCATCACCCAGTATAAATTCCTTTAGTCATTGAATATATTTTGCCCCCTAACACAAAATAATTCAGGAACGTTCTCCTCACTGTAACATATATTCACGAAGGTGCAGCTTAGTAAATAACTTCATCGATTTGAATATTTTTTCTTCGCTGTAACCATGTCTCGTCTTTTCCTATGATCAAATGGATGTATTGCGCTGTTCAAAGAGTAGAAAGGATATTCGTCTGTGAAAAATACATCTGTTGCCTTTTCAGCTAAATACTCACAAGGTTTACATGAGTACGACCAGAAAGGGTGCAACAGTTAAATCAAGATTAATAGATCCTAATAGGATAAGAAATGTAGAAAAAAGCTCGACTATTACTCTGCATGCAATTACGCAGTAGGGTGGAATAGAGCAGCAGTATTAAAACTTAACTTAGTTGAATGGAGGGAGAGGCTGATAACCGAATCTTTGTTTATTTATCGAATCCACACCAAATATATCCAACGGAAATGATTCTGAACCAGTCCCAGATATATAGAAAATCTTACCTTGTAATCGCAAAGTAGGAGCGAAATTTAGAACTATATAAACCATCTCAAAGTTTGGACTTACATGACATAAATATGGACAATAAATTATGTCTGAAACGTTATCCAGTAAATGGCACTGTTTCTTCACTGTGTGACATTTCTAATAAACAGACCAAAATGGAATTACAATCTACTACAGGGCCTAAATTTTATTCCTATATTAACTTGACACTGGGTTCCAGCGGTAATGAACGTGGACGTTTGGTTTAATGCGGTTTGCTCATCACACATTGACTGAAACTGGGTTAGTATTAAAAAATCTAGCGTAATCACAAAGTTTAAAACATAATTATATATCAGTGATTCTATTAGATTCAACCTCAGGAATGAAAAAAGAGGTTATTATGTGTAAAGAATCAAACCTAGGCGATCCTTAGTCAGATTTTCAACACAATTCGAACTGGATAATTGATACTTTGACAAGTTTTATTCAATTTTCAGAGGATATTATAAAATCAGTACATTATTATATCTCATTACCACCACAAAAATGTTTAGAAATATTATTATTGTCCTAAATATTTTAAACTGGTCTTTCGGCTCTAAGTGACTGTTTGAATGAGAAGCACAAAAAAATAATAATTTCATCATCGAAAGTTGGTCTCAGGGTCTCAGTATATTATAATTGGCGATTGAAACAAGGAAAACTTGTAACTGGAATAGTTATATATGAGTAGGGTATTTCATATGTCAATAAGCCTCAACTAAGAAACTTATATGACGCTGTTAGTTGGTTGTACGCTACTGTCAGAAAATCCTATTCGGTGTAGTTTCCATTACTTTCTTCCCTCACCATGAAAGTTGAACTTCGAATTCTTTGACGTCAATCTTAAAAACATATTCTATTATAAACTCACTCGTCAGTATGCGATGAATAAGCTGGAGTATTGGGACACTAATGTGTATATAACAGTTTACTTACTCCTGTGGGCCGAGTACGTCGGTCGTGCCATGCATCAGCTTATATAACGCACTTGTGAACACTACCAAATTTGAGTGAAAAAGGGAGGACAGAAATGCATCTTTAGTCCTGTAACAGAACACTCAGTAAACATAGGATATTTGTCTCCTTACGGTCAGTCCTTCAAAATATTGTAGAAACTACACCAAGCCATTCGAAAGAAGTGAGTGCCATGGCCATCGTAGAGGATCATTCACTCTAGATAACTGTCATTTGACGCAAGAATATTTCATTACTCAATAAGTTTGTTTGTTTTCCCACTTTAAACGTAGACAGACATCATATCACTTCCCTTTGTCACACAATTTATATTGTCATTTGGCCGGAAATTGCTCTGGAATGTTCTATCCTTTGGTAATGTACATTAGTCTATACGTTGTACAATTATTACACTGGCAGACGTACAGCTGTCATCACCGTCAACTACGTGTTTGAAAGTATATATATATATATATCATTCTCTTACTAGCCATTTCAAAACTTACTCTTGTATACGAAGTGATTCAGAAGGCCACTCTGTCAATACTTAAAATCAGGTTTTTTATTTCCCAAAGTGAACTTCCCTTCTAGCCCAAATGTAAAAACGACTGAATTGGTTATTTCAGTAAATTTTCTATGATAGCCAATCAAATCAGTCGTTTTCTAATCTCTACTTATCTTCCTATCGAAATTAGTAAAAACCTGTTAAATCTGCTTTGATAAGGTTAAACAACAAACAGACTCATGTGTACTCATCCGAAAATATCATTACTTCTAACCTTACCTCATTTCTCAGTGTCTTTTTCAGAATATTTATTCAGTTAATCGTGCAAACAGTAATGAAAATGCTCAATGATATTAACCAGTTTGCCTTATTTTGATTACTTTCCACTAGTGTTATCCAGCATATGAATCAATATTCCCTTGTCAACAATATACAAAGTACGGTGTATATTCTGGCTTTTATGATAGATATATTAGAATTTTCAGGGTTGTAAAGCAACTGACGAGAATCAATTGAAGTGGATGTGTGCATATTCCCTACAATTGTTCATTTTACTCTTCTCAGGTTTGTAGATAGGGAGAATCATCTTGACAGTTTGTAGACTATACATAACTTAACTTTACATTTCTACTCTATCTTGAGAAAAACATTGTAAGCTGTCTGTTTCTTCTTAATTCTGCTTTACTTCAATTAAAAACAAGATTGAAAACATTGTAAATTACCACGTTTTAGATCTTGTTCAGTTTTATGTGAACAGTCATTGATCTGTTAGCCGCTTGATGTAAAGGTTTACAGTTTAGCCTCGGACTGCCTCAACGAATTTCCGCTGATTTATCAATCATTGTAGTTTTCTCATAGAAAATATTTTAAATAACTTAATCAAGTTTTGTAAAAATACAACAGTGTTTGATGTTGTATTAGTTAAATCACTTGTAGCCTTAGTAAAATCGCAGTAACCACTTTGATTGTAACAAGAGACATATGTGTTCATGTAGTAGATTCTTCCCCATGATGAGTACCTATAAACACTTAACTGTGTGAGTTACCTAAATGCTATATCTAATAACTTATTACTATTTAAAGTTCCTCTTTTGATTGACCAAACTCACATTTTCCTCATTCCTCATTGTATGCATATTACGTCTTAGTAAATCGTATATTTCTTAGGCGGAAGCTTTCCATAAGAGATTATACAAACCCTTTTGCACTTGAAATACTTTAATATTTAAATGAAACTGTCAGTCAATGACAGTTCTTCACCTTTATGTTCTTCGTAATAAAGAAAGTTTACCCACCACATTACATACACACATACATTATATGCATGACTTCACCATTAGATTTTAGTTGCAAACAGAGGTAGGTACTAGTTGGCATCACTAATTCAACATATTTATTGAGTATTTTACTGAATGCAGTCATCTGTGGTCAACTATGGTCTAAAGTGTACAAAAATAACGTTTCTAACTGTATTACTAGAAGATGAGAGTTCGTCAGTTAATGCATAGCTACATAAGGTGCCTTATAGGGTAAAATTTAAACAGTTACAAATTTAGTTGATACTTCACCCAGTAAAATCTTATCTAGTCATGTAGGAAAGTAATTGCTCATTGGTAACCAATCAAACTCCAGTATTGAATGGTAAGCGTTAATAACCCAGAGGAGGCATTAACTACCTTGATATTCCAGATACGAGCACTTCCTTGGTGGGATACAACAAACACGATACCCCAATGATCACCTGTAACCAACTAACATTTAACTAAACGGCTTGATATTTATCAAGTTATATTCCCTAGTTCTCAACCTTCTTCCCTAACCTCCTATCACTAAGACATATATTGATAAAAATATTGACAGTAACAAATGTCCCTGGTCATTGTAGTTTAGAGCAGCTTTTTGCATGAAGAAAATATTATTTATCATGAACAAAAATATATTTTCTATAACAAAATTTATAAAACAAACAAGATGGTTATTAGTATAGACTTACTTGCATGACGAGGATGTCTGTATCGATAAGCGCTTTGATGTTGACCATCTCCAGGCATCTTTTTTTCCAATGATCAAGTTGACGTGTGACGTGAACTCTGAAGACTGCTTCAATATAATGTGTATGTATAACAAATAAATGAGTAAAAGTATTCTGAAAAATAGTCAAGGATTTTGGTGTTTAAGTGTATGTTTAAAAACAAAGTATTTCTTCTTGAGTACTTTTATTCAGTGTCATTTGGATATACTTTCACAGAGGAGTGATAAAAAAATTCTCCGTATAATTTTTTATAAATAAACAAGAAAATTTTTTTTTAAATAGGAAAGACACTAGCTAACTGTTTAGTTCTGTTACTAAATAGACGAAATATAAAAGAGTTGATGAATATTACTGTGATCGATTCTACGAAAAAGAAAGTGTTTTTCAGTCAAACAGATAGCTTCTATGTCTTTCATTATCGAATAATTGGGGATTATTAATCATATTGTGGAAATAAAATATTTTTACAAAAAACATACTGTTTATTTAAGGCAGAAATATGATTTTAAACTATTTCTTATTGGAAATAAACACTTAATTCTTATTGGTAGTTCAGTAATACCACACTTAATCGATAAGATGGATTTGTATGATTTCAGTGCACAAATATCCTACACTCCGTCCCTTGTTAGTCAAAAATAAAAAGCCCAATTACAAAACGATAAAAAGATGTAAGTATGCTGGAAATCAATAATCTTCACGACATACACAAATATTGTTAGAAAATTTCAATTAATAAGACATTTTATTTAATGAATGTCATTTTGGAATAATTTGACCAATCAATTGATCTAGCTCCATGTAGTGTGGAAATTGAAACATTGAGCATTGAAAGTGGATATTATAGACCGCATTGTCTACTTGTGAACATATGAAGTCATCCCAGACTGGTTAATCACATGAATATATAGTGGGATGAAACCAATTTAATTTTCAGTAGATAATATCTTGATATTCCTTCGTCTAATTTAGTGTTCTTTCGTTGTGCTACTAAATCTCGTTTATATTGCAAGTTGATTTCAATGAAATGCTGTCTAGAAACCAATGAAAAGTAAAATCTTTCCCTCTCCCTTTATGTTCTGCTCAATCAAAAGCCTAAATAATCATTTAGGTAACACCAGTATGGAACGTGGTATTACAGCATAACCGTTCAAGTAACCACACCTTACATCAATACATCAAGACACATAAGAACAGGATGAAGGATACAGAAATGCGGAACTGGAAGACTTAAAAGTGATAGAGAGTTATGAAAATTGAGATGATGATAATGTGTGGATATATCTGCACCACTGAGACTCTTATTCAGTCAATTCCAAACAAGCTCAACATCAATAAATTGGAGACTGGTTTTCAATGTATGACATTACAGTAATGTATTTTTGAGATGAATGGGGATTTCACTTCAGAGGTAGTATTCATCACGAACTGACATCAGTTGGGGAACCATTGGAAACCTGGAAGTACTGGACAGCTTTTTCGTCCTAGTATAGAACTCCTCAACAGTACGCACCCACGACCTGGTTAGAGAGTGAACTCAGAACTTTGAGGTTTTCTGATGAACGCGTTAACCATTCAGCCACTGGGTCGGTTTCCAGTGGTTCACAATTTCCAAGATACTACAAACAGGAAAGCCTACTATAGAGTTTTGTCCATATACTCTTCAGAGACTATAGTTCAACGGATTATCTTTTGAACACAGAGTTTGGTGGTCACTTCGCCAAAATGAAAAACGGATATAGGTGCTAAGTGATGAGATTTGCAAGAGTAGGAAGCAATCTACACTGCATATTAAGTGATGACAAGTGCCTTTTTACTGCCATAAAATTTCGCTACAGTGATACGAAAACCATAGTTCTGATAAGAGTAGATAGGTAGCAGAAGTTTCACAATCGAACCAAGTTGCCCACAAACTGTTGGGTAGTTAAGATTGCTTAAATTATAAGTATGTGTTATGAAACTTTTCCTATTGAGTAAACAATCATCTAAGAAGTGGTTGAATAAATACCTCTGGGTTTATGGTATTAGCGTCTCTTCATGTCCATTTACGTGCACAGTCTACTGCTTTTGTTGAACTGACCAGATTCAGAGATAATAGAAAATTATAGTCACATAAGAATTTCTCCTAAAGATTATATGGAAATCCTTTCATTTGAGGATGCCCTAATACAGAGCACAAAGTAAGATAAGACCAACATGAGAGTTAAAGTAACTAAGTGACGTCTTGACTGGTCACTTCACATGAGAACGTCAAGATAGAAGTTGACAAAAAACGAACAAGGAAATGAAAAGATACCGAAAGATGCAGTTAAATGATGCATCACAAAAGGAAAAAGCGATAAAAGTAGTGAAAATGTGTGATACTGCTATTTATATGAAGTTAAAACACGGATACATCTTAACCGCTGAAATCGATTCTAAGCCGTATCACTTAGACCTCCAACCATGGGTTATTGTGGTCTCATCTACCTAAAATAAGAGGGTGAGATGTCACTGACGCAGCTGAATCCGACAGTCAGAAAGGTGGTACCATGTCCTTGTTTGGTTTTTCTTGGGTATTTTTAACCTTAACCCCTCCTAGGTAAAATAAAATAGGTTGGTATGCATAGCACATGTTTCAGTCAACTCAAATGAAAATATACAAACGAAGTAATTGACACTGCAAATTACATTCCAATTAGGGTGGTTTCACCACGCATGTTCAACTAAAGCCAAATATACGGACTTCTTGGAATTCTTTATCTTTGGTAGTGACTTTTCATAGTGGGATTGCTGTTCATTCATTGATTGCACAGATATAATAGGCGGCGTGGAGGAGTAAAAGCCAATACAGTCTACTTTGCCTTTATTGAGATTCTGTCAATTACTGACTCAATGGGGCTGATTCGATTTCCTTGATAACTGAGATAACTAACCGACTCAACGAATTCTCTCCCTAACGTCAAAAGACATATAAACACAACTTAAAGTAAACACATTAAAAAATTACTAGTGGTATTTTGTTGCTATCGAAGTCTTAGGCAGCCGAAGAGTAACCAGTCTATCTGTGCAGGTGAGGTCACATGAGCAGCCGTATCTAGGTCATATTTGCATACATTCATCAGACATTCATGACTTAGAATGTCATGGTTTCGCTTCATCAAGCTTCTTGCAGGATTCACAATGAAAAATTCATTGAACGCTTCAATGTATCATTTACAGCACAGTCCCAAGTAACCAATTATTCTATCGCATGAACTGGAGTCATCATAATTGGCTGCACATCTGACATAATTTATAAATACAAACCCAGAAGAAGAACCTCAGATGCTGCAGTTGTTTTACATCATAATATTATTGCTAGTTTGAACAAAAGTGCTAAGTATTTTAAATCTACCTTCTTAGATTACACCACTGCCTTTGACTTAATCTGTAGACCCCTCTTATTAAACAGGCTGGCTGGTACTTACACTGAGTCCTGGGTTGCAAATTGGTTTGATTCACATTTTTCTGAGAGAAGACAGTAAACTCTATACAGAGGGAACCGCTCTACTTCACTGCTTAGTAATCCAGTGTGCCTCAAGGTACTGTCATTTCTTCTTTCCTTTTCTCTTTTCTCTTGTGACTTACCAACCTCAACTAAAGCTAATTTTATTAAGTACGCTGATGACCTGACAGTATCTATGCCGATCATCTCCTCTTCAATAAAAATTCTCAGTTTAATAACTTAAACTAAGTTGGTTACTGGTCTTCCCTAAATGGCCTCACACTCAATCCCTTCAAATGTCAGACGGTTAATTTTAACTTAAGATATGAAAAAGACCTTTGGACACCGTTCAATCCAAAGACTTTTGTCTTCTAGGTGATTCTGTTTTAGAGGATGTAACAAGCGTGGTCCATCTTGGCTTATGCTTTTGTTCTGATCTTTCTTCGTGCCCTCGTTTATTACTGATTTCCAGGAAAAATTTTCGATTAAGTTTTTATATTACGAAACTCAAACTATCTGGTATAACTCAGTTTCTATTCTTTCGTTTCATGAATTCCTGTGTTTCGCCTATACTTACTAATTGTTCCCTCATTTCCTTACCTTGACTCTGCAAAACAGACTACGTTGTATTGCTTAAGGTTTTGGAGGAAGTTAGTAGAGCAAGTAGCAAACCACTAACCAAGCTGATAAATGCAGTTGTGGATAGGTATGTGAACTCTTATAGATATATATATAGGAAAAAATTCCATCTGATGACAAGCATCCTTTGCATCTATACCTCTCTGCACATCTGTCCTTAGGAAAGACAAGAGGCAAATATATTAAACTCTATGCACGCAAAAGTACGTGCAAAGTTTCAACGATACCTTATTTAGCTTGTGTATTGTGTGAAGAAAATCATGTTAGATGTAGTCTTATCAATCAACTTTGCAACAGTGAACAGTTTTCATGTCCCTGAAGTCAATAAACCTTTTAACAATCTGTTATTCTTTGTTAAATATTGTTAAACGGCAGCATTGTTAGTGTTTTAAAAATGTTGTTCTATGGGTAAACGGATGCAATACCACATGGTGACAATTGTGTACTGTAAATTTTATTATGGTTCGAAATTAAGCAAATAAATTATATTGTATCGAAAGCCAGAAATCATGAAAATTTGAAAATGATCGTGATAGAAGATTGTTCTTGTTCAGAAGGAAATTGGATGATACTAAAAGTGTAGGAAGTTTTGAAAACTTTTGTCTCCTTATTAGATGGAGAGTTGCTTCTTCAGGTGTTTCTAAAAAGGAGTGACTTTTTTATGAGTAATATTATCAACTCAGAAGTGTGGCCACAGATCCTGAATTATGGCTGTTTTGAATGTTTTGACTTGTAGAAAACTGCATTGAATGTGTATTCAACAAAATCATGTCCCTGGAAAAGTAAATATATAGGGCGACCGGTATATGTGGTACTTTTACTGAGTAAATTCTTGAACTTTGCCTGTCTGAAAAGCGAAGACAGTGTTAGTTGAAGATGCTGATTATCCTCGACAGTACGTTATGGCTGTTACA